CCCCCTCCTCCCCCAATCCCCCCATTTGTCTACATAATCCTTCCCTCAAATCATGTAGATGGATAATATAAAGAAGCAAATTTCAAATGATATACCCCGGTCAGGCGTGATTCGTCCAAAGAGCACGGTCGTGCAGTGCCGCCCAAATTTTTAAAAATGTTCTATTACGTAAAACATCCACACATAAAATAAAAGAAGCCAGAAACAAACACTAGCCAAATAATATTATATCAAAACAAGGTCCTCACTGGCGTCATAACTGTCATTTCTGTGTCTATAGCGCCGTAAAACTTCTACTATGCCCTGCCAAAGTCCACGCGCTTTAGCTAAACATAATAGGATATTCAACAGTGTAACCAGACCTATAAATCGCTATTGGGGATAACCCAAGCGATGCCGACAGTCGTAGTTTGGCGGTACATTATTACATTATTAATAAGACGGTACATCTTAAATGTGCTCCTGCCGAATAGTGACGAAACAGCCCATAGTAGGCAGTCTAAAAATGAACGCGATAGACCGTACGCTATTCTTTGCCAATATGTGAGCCTCGGAGCAATCCAGCGGAGTGCTCAAATGTATTGTGATTGGTTCATTGTCTGTCTTACCACTATTTTAAGTGACTCTGTGACCGTTAACCTGAGGGGGGTGAACGTGACCGTTCTACGAGTTGTACCTTTGAATGGTTTTGTAGAAGAGTGGTGAAAGTTATTACTTGAGTGTTCAGTTCCAATACAGGATGAACGAATGTGATGTTTAGCTAACAAACACATTTAGTACTAGAAGTCAAAAGCGACAAGTAAAAATAATGAAAACAAAAGCACGAGGTCCTCCCTCACCAACCCAAAGATCCTAAAATTATACACCGTCTCATTTACTATGCCCTTGACTATCTTCAGCATGCGATAGCTTAATTGTGCACGTCCACTTTTTAGCCCCACGAGCCGCCCCCGACCCCAGTACATGGATATAATATATTACATAAGTAACTAACAAACACTTAAATGGAAAGATAAACAGACGCGTGAAATGAACAAATTATTGTAGTGAATAATATGAAGTAGAAAAATTTGGTATGATAAATTAAATGATGTACTTGAGATGGGTAAAAGAAAATAAATGGACTGAATAAATGGATATATAATATGGTGGATATAATTGACTGTACATGTATTTATATTATACTCTGAAACAAGGCTTTCTTTTTTCCTTTTGACGCGGGGGGGGGGGGGTGAAAGTATGCGTATACTCTTACCCTTAAAGATGTAGCGCAAGCACGTTTCAACACAGTCAGGGAAAATGAGAGTACGACATGATTACGTAACGATTACGCATTAGATATTTACCCCGGAGTTCCCCCTACTTTGTGGAGAAATGGCGGCTCCTCCAGCGGCTGTGGGAAGATAAATAATAATTTTTTTTAGGAGAAATCCCCCGCAGAAATATGTTTGTATTATATAATATACCTCCCCCCCCATATATATAAAATCATATATACATATATACATATATATATATATATATATATATATATATATATATATATATATATATCTTTGTTTAATAATATCCCGTAAGATTATGACATACACGAAAAATATCTGAATTTCTTAAGCTTACATGTGGACCCCTCTCCCTCTTTCTCTCTCTCTCTCTCTCTCTCTCTCTCTCTCTCTCTCTCTCTCTCTCTCTCTCTCCCCCCTCTCTTTTTTTATTTTTTTCTCTTCCTCCTCCTCCTCCTCCTCCTCCTCCTCCTCCTCCTCCTCCTCCTCCTCCTCCTCCTCCTCCTGTTCCTTTTCCTCCCCTTTTTCCCATCTCTCTATCTTTGTATCTATCTAGATAGCTATGTCTCCCCCTCTGTCTAAATTTATCTCTAACTCTGTTTCTCTCCCCCCCCCCCCCCCCCTCCATCCCTCTCTGTGTTTGCTGCTTGTGGCTGCCACTGGAAGTGAAAAGATTCATAATGCGCGTATAATAGAAATAACAACGATATTAAGAGGCACTACTTAATATAATTATGATTACAGTGGTGATGATCTAACAATAATTATCATCTAAAATCCTTTAATGACGACGATGATGATACATGGTATTGTATTATTCTTGGAAAAGCATCTACAGGAGTCCACCCAATTCCAGGAAGAGGAGTAGGCTACTTTATGTATACCACGACCTCACATTCAAACATGTAATACGGACATACTGTAGGAGGATTGCCACCGCCACCACCACCACCATCACCATCATCATCATCATCATCATCATCATCATCATCATCATCATCATCATCATCAAAGTACTCATCATCATCATCATCAGGTACTCAAAGTGGCAAGCTGTCCCCTTCACGATGGGGAGTACCGTTCTCAACGAAGACAGCCACATCCAATGGGGAAGCTCTGCAGCCGACACCAAAGTCACTGCAAAGAGGCACCTCTACTCGCCAACCAGGGAGAAGACATCAAGAAGATCTGTCCTTTGGCAACAAGCATGTCCCAGCGTGTTTTTAGAGAGCGGGAGCAGACTCCCAGTCGCTGACTTCCGCATTCCTGTTCCTCAGATCAAGACTGGAAAATCCACAATCTACTCTAGATACAGAAAGATCAGATTGAATCGAGCAGGTGACATTGAACTAAACCCGGGACCAGAGGATCCGCGAGGAGAAGATGTAGTTGAATGGGCGTGTCATAAATCGCTTGACATCCTGAATGATGGTTCTGTCACCCGAATCAACAAAACAACAGAGGCTGGCAGCTCGCCAGATGTCACGCTATGTGGAAGTGTCTGGAAGAGCAAATGTGTATGGTCGGTGGATGATGACGATCTCGGTGGTTCTGATCATTCTGCAATCATCATTGTACTGAACAGTGCAACTAAACATCAATCAATCTTTGCAAAGGCGCCGTGATGGAGAAGAAATGGAGTGAACTGGCCAGACTTTCGAAATGAGATTGAAAGCAATATGGATAACTTACCGGAAACTGACGATCTGAATCTGCGAGTCCAACGTTTCAATGCCATCTTACTTGAAGCAGCTTATGCGCATGTCAGGAAGGTGAAGCCGTCCAAGAAATCCCACTCTTGGATGACCCCCAAGTGTCGTGGACTGATCAAGAAAAGAAACCAGCTAAGAAAAAATATCTCCTCACACAGGGAGGAATGGTTACACGCTTGCAAAGATGTTACAGAGGCTGTCCAGGAGGCAAAGACTGACCAGTGGAAGGAGGTAGTTAATGGCGTGATAAATGATCTGGACGAAAGGAAAACTTGGAGTTTCATCAAGTCTCTAAATGGATCACCAGATACCATCTTTCCCAATGAAGTACTGAAACACAACGGGAAAAGGATAACATCAGCAAAGAAGAAAGCTGAGCTTTTAGCCCAGCACTATGCAAAAATCAGTAAGCTCCAATTTACCTAAGAGGAGCGCAGAAGAAACAAACTCCGTTTGTTTATATTCTTCATAAACAACCTGGCAGAATCCCTCCCAAACCCTGACTCACAACAACTAACCTCCGCCAAGCTGATCTACTCAATGTTCGTTGATGACTGCACAATACTGGCCAGTCACGCAAAGAGAGCAAAGGCAAATGAAGCGACACAGTTGATTGTGGATATGGTTGTGTTGAATGCAACCAAGAGTGAAGTGTGCTTCTTCTCAACATGGGTGAAGGAGGCAACGTGGCAACCAATAATTCAGATCGAAGGGAAAAAGATACCATTCAACCCCACTCCACGTCTGCTGGGCGTCTACCTGGATAGACAGCTAACCTTCAACAAGCACATTGAGGAGGTGTCGAAAAGTGCAATCTCTACAATGAAGGTTATCGGTGCTGTCAGCAACTCAAAATGGGGCTGGGGTAAGGAGTCGTTCAAGAAAATATATCAGATGTTTGTGAAAAGCAAGTTGGATTATGCTGCCCCAGCGTGGCAGCCGTGGCTGAGTGAGACTAGCGCAAAGGCCCTGGACAGAATACAAAACAAAGCCCTCCGACTTGTATCAGGTCAGCTGAAAACAACACCAACAGAAGCGCTGCGCTATGAGACTAGAACTGAGCACTACACCACCTATACAAAAAGAACATGCCTCAAGTCTGTTGAGATGGCGAAAAGATTACCAGACAACCACCCTGGAAAGAAAGCCCTTGATCAAGCAGTCAAGCCTAAAAACCGCAGGAAAAGTTGGTTTCGGATGGGCACCGATCTAGCAAACCACCTCCCCCCTGAAGCAGAGAATCGAAGGCCGATCGATCTGGTGAGAGCTTGTCCATGGGAGACCCATGGCGAAATCGAAATTCGGACAGAACTGAGAGGAGTAAAAGGAAAAGGTGATGATCCTGTAAAGGCACGTGAAGCAGCTGAGGATGTGATCAAAGATGTTGGTGCGGATGTGACAATTTTCACCGATGGATCGGCAGTCGCAGGATACCGCGAAGGTGGAGCAGCAGCAGTAGTGATAATAAATGATGAACCACCACGAACAGAAATTATTAAAACTAAAGGTGCATTCCTTACACCATCTTATGACGAGGAATGCCAGGCAATGATGTCTGCTGCACAATGGATTGCTGACAGTTGCCACAGTAGGACCAATGTGCTGATCTTGACTGACAGTCCGTCCCTCTGCAAGGGGCTACTGGGCAACAGCTCGAACATGAATGATTTGCGCCGCAAGTTCAGTGAAACCAGAGCCACAATAAAAATTCAGTGGATTCCAAGCCATGTTGGAATAGAAGGAAATGAGGCAGCAGACCAAGCTGCTAATGAAGCCAGAGAGATCGAAGGAGACAGACGACCAACGACATACAGAGGAGTCTTTCCAATAATCAAGAGAGAAATCAGAGACCCACCATGTAGAAATAAGTACCAGCACCTGGAAGATGTGTATTCGGGGTACTCCTATAAGCGGGAACAAAAATCTATCACATGTCGCTGGGACCAGGTTGAGCTAGCGAGACTGCTGTCGGACCATCATTGGAGTTTAAGATGGTATAATAACTTTGTAAATGAAGAGCTCAGCCCATGTGCCGAAGATGCAGCCATGAAAAGGAGGATATCAAACATATGTTTGAATGTCCAGGAACAATGGCAATTCGAATGGAGTTATTTGGACGAGTGGAGGTGCCGCTAAGCATATTGACAATGAAACCGAAAAAGAGCCTCGCTCTCGCTCGAAGATTTGTTCGTGAAGTACGTCAGGTCCATTAAGGAAACAAAAAAATCATCATCATCATCATCATCATCATCATCATCATCATCATCATCATCATCATCATCATCATCATCATCATCATCATCATCAGTGCCTCCACAAGCAGCAGAACAATACAAGTAAAGATAATAATAACGACAATAACAACAACAACAACAACAACAACAACAACAACAGCAGTAGCAACTACAACAGCAGTAGCAACTACAACAACAGCAACAACAACAACAACAATACATAACTACTGTACTGACGTAGAGGCGGCTGTGGCGTTTTACAAAGACATGTTGGGCACCCGTTGGGGTCTGCTACATTCCCGAAACGGCAATAATTCCAGCACATCGCTGCTCCACACGACGCTGCACGAAGACAAGAATAGAAAAGCACATTAATTTATCCACGTTTATTAAAACGACACAGATTTCACCATTACGCGACCTCAGTGCTTTCTTGTCCTATCTCCATTTTTAATAACTGATAAGTTAATAACAGTGAAAACAGTTCATAACAGAGCTTAAGAAGAAGTCACATTATCAATGGGGTTTTTTTAAAATGGAGATAGGACAAGAACACACTGAGGTCGCGATTAGACACATCTTAACAGAATGTCCAGACTTCGGAGAGACCCCAAAGGAGTATTTTAAATATTTAAAAAAGAAGTCAAGTTCTGTTCTCCGTCCGTCGTTGATCCAAACGGAATTCTTGATTTTATAAAGGCTATTGGCCGTTACAATAAATTGTAAACTCCGTTGTTTTAAATCGGAAGCAAATTGTCAATGATAAAACTGAGATTTTTACGCAGAAGTTTGGACATTTTAAAATAAACATTGACCTAAACCAATCTGTGCTGTGAACTGTTGTGTATGCAACCAACTTGTGTTTCGCGCGCTCACATGACCTCATGCTGTTGCGAGCGCCGTAAAACTCTTTAAAACCAAACAAAAAGGTTTAGAACTGGTGCTTGGATAGTAAATTTTACGCTGTTACTCGCAAAACCAGCATATATAGTATAGCGGCAAGGCGCTTGGCTGTCGCACGCAGGACATCCGAGTTCAATTCCCGAGATTTTATTGAGTAACCCGGTCTTTCTGCTGGAATGTTGAGTTCCTCTGAGAACGGGGTTGGTCCTGACAGACAAAGTCGGAAGCCCTCCTCTATAATGATTTGTGTTGTGTGGAAGGGGGCGTTAAAGCATCTATATTAACAATGATTAGAACAAAAACACGGGAATTTGGTACCACAGTCGGGAACTGTCGTATCGAGTAAGGCCGTCAATCTGCTGAGATGCTATGTTACCCTCTCCCTGAGTGGTATCCCTTGACTCTGGACGGCAGGGTCGAAGCGGGTAGCCTCTTGAATGGCCAACACTGTGTTGTTTAGCGGGATGTTAACCGCATAGGCTCTAACAGCTATAACCAACACTTTTGTAATAGTTCCGGAAAATGGTTAACTTGTAATAGCAGACGCACACGACATGTCATACAAGCTAAAGCCAATAATTCCAAAGGGAATTACACATCGAAAGTACATAATTTAAGTGAGGCATCGTGGAGAAATCAGGCGCTCGTCAAAATAATGAAATCGAAGAAATAGGCATTTTACCGCCAGTTTGGCAATTTTTTTCGAACTTTTGTTTTTTGGCTCGAACACCTTTAATGTCCCTATAAAACAAATTTCCGTGTGAATTTGACTGAAAAACGTTAATTAAAGGGGGGGAAAAAATGTAATTTTCAGTTTTTAACAACTCTCAGGCTATTGAAGCTTCCGAACTTTGGCGGCGATTTTTTCGGTAATTTTACCACTGAAACCAGGTGACCTAAACTTCTTCAATTACAAATATCTCGACTTCTATTCAATGCAGATGGGTATTTATTTTTCGTTGAAAGTACTGCAAATGAATAAGCTTTTAGATTATACCAATAACTCCACTTGCCCAAAAATTGACAAGCGCCTGACTCCACCGCGTTGTGACACTTTGGGCACAGGTAACACGAACACGGACTACTCGAAATCACAGATAGCTCGTACAATTTGCCATTCCCCGACCGATATTTTTGTTCATTTTTGCGTTATCCGTTGACCCGAATTATGGGTGTGTCGAACACATAATTTGTAATCCCAAACCTGTTTGGGTTATCCTGGCCCGATTGTATATTTTTTTTGTGTGCATGCTGGCCAAGTCTACAACAACGCAACGCCTTGGGGTTCATTCTAGGTTTCTGTCTACCGACCTACTAGATATGATGCTAATTATTTCGGATGGAGGCAGAGGAGTTGGTATCATGCCAGACATCGGGTTGGGATGAACGTTTCAGACAGTTTGTTATTGTAAATGTTTATTGAACGCTGCTTGCATTATACTCTTTTCGAGAAGCCCAAAATATTTCTGGGCGGTCTATCGTCTGCGGAAGTAGCCTAATAGTAGTTTTAAAGCTCATAGAGCTGCTGTTGAGTCTGCATAAGCGCTATATAACTGCAGATATTATTATAAATTGTTATTAGGACGAAGAAAATGAATTGAGAATATGGATAGTTAGCGGGTGCTCTTTGGGTGGTTTGGTCCTTCTTTCCCATCGATCACCTATCATCCTTTTCCGCTGGTCTGCTCGTAGTTCCGTGTCTTGTTCAGCAACACACCCAGCCATCAACTGGAGCATCGTGCATCGCTTGACCTTGTTTTCATGTAAGTGTTTTTACGCCCTCATCAGCAAAAGTTAAATTTTTAGGAGGCGGGCTTCCGACCCTGCCTGTGAGGGCAAACCCGAACTGAGAAAGATACAACATCCCAGCAACAAGATCGAGAAACTATAAAACTTCTTCCCACGTGGAGAATCGAACTCGGGTCTCCTGCGTACGACAACGAAGCGCCTAGCTGCTACATCACAGACGCCGGTTTGCTAGACCTTCTTTTGCCCGCCTCATTCACTGATCGTTAAAATTGGAGAGGCCTGAAGTGGAAGGATATTTCACTTCATCTGCTGTCGTTAAAACATTCAGTCCTATCTCTTGTATAAGATCTAATTTTTCTTTTACTTTTTCCTTCCTCTGGTATTCCTCAGATGTCGAGGGGAGGTGCAGATTTTGATCCTGTGCTAAGTGCGTGGCGTCTGTGACTCTGTGGTAGATATGGCATGTTGTTCCAGGATTTTTTAACCCCATCCAGCCAGGCTCTTCTTAGTCTTCCTCTTGATTTGAAGCCAGATTCACGGTTGTGGTAAGCTCTTGAAGCTAGTTTTTTTCTGGGGCATTCAGGTTAGATGTCTGAACCATTAAAATTTGACTCTGTTGACGCTCAATGAGATTCATAACTGGTGGTATTCCTGTTTGAAGGCATATGGCCTCTTTCCTTGTGCTTCTCTTCTGGTGACATTGATGGTTTTGCAGAGACACCTCATTTCGTATACATTGATTTTTATTTCTTGACACAAAACAAATAAGAGTTTGTTAAGGATTGCCCCTTTTTATCTGGGCGTTGGAAGGCGCCACTGGTTGGTCCTTCTTTTCTTTCCCTCGGTTTATCATCATCATTGCCTTTCTCGCCAGGGTATAAGCCACGAACAAACACTTGCCACCTTTCCCTATCTTGGGCTAGCTAGCCTTTCGATTTTCCCCCCAAGTTTTCCCACTTTTCTGTATGTCAATATCCATGACTTTCTCCGGGTTCCACGTGGTTTTCCCCTCGATCTTTGACCCTGTGGATCTTCTCTGTTGTTTCGGTCTTTTTGTCTTACTTCAGCCCTGCACTAAATGACCGTTAATTGTCTATGTTTCTATTAACTGAAAACTCTGGGAGTTGGGACAGTTTACGGATCATCATCATAATATATAACATTCTCTAAAGGACATTCTTAGAGTTTAGCTTTTGAGGTAATTTCAAGGCTTTCCAGCCACATAGCTCGACACTGTCAGATCCTGTTTCTTCATTTCAGGACTGACAGGGGCCGTCTATAGCGTTCTACAACAATAGTTTAGTCGAGGATAAACCACAAAAAACCCAACAACAACACCAAAAACAACCAAAAACAAGCCCCCCCCCCCAAAAAAAAAAAAAAGACCCAGAGGGGTGGACTCATGAGGAGCCCTCAACAAACACCAAGAATAAAGCAAGCACAAGCTATACAGTGAAACTGAAACCAAGGAAAAGAAGGGAGCATACCACACCAGAGTTTCGACGACTAGCCAACCACGCGTGACTTCATTAATCGCTAGTCATATTATTATGACCTAAACAGTTCTCTTCCTCAGAATTACAGAGTTCTATCTGCTCAGTACATTTACATAGTTTTGAGAAATTTGACGTCAATCTTTATACAAATTTTCAAAACATGTCAAGCTTTTTCGAAATGCAATTCTTGGAATACCTTGATAACGACTCCGAATAATTTTATTCTTACGATTTTGATAGGGCAGATAAAGCAGTTGCTTTCTGACCTCATGGTCTAAGTAACTCAAAACGACCAAAATGTCAGACAGAACTTCATAGTTCTGGGGTAGCGAGTCGCACTTACAGCACTGTCCCTCCGGCTGACAATTCATGCTGCTGGAGCATGGCGCGCCTTTTCTCCGGCAGTATGAGCCTGGTGGGCATAGCTGTTGGGGGAAAAACAAAGGCAGGTAAAATAAATTAATAAATACATGCATAAAATAAATTCATGAGCCTGATGGGCATTGCTGAGGGGGGAAAAAACAAAGGCAGGTTAAATAAAATCATACATAAAATAAATTCATTAGCCTGATGGGCATTGGTGTGCGGAAAAAAACCAAAGACAGGTCAAATAAAATTATAAAATAAAATAAATCCCAGAGGCTGGTGGCATTACTGGGGGGGGGGGGAGGAGCAAAGGCAAGTCAAATAAATACACATTAGATTCTACTTTATTTGTCCTCCTTTTTGTGTTGCAAGGGGTGTGAAAAACACCCACATTTGAAACGTAAAATGTTTGACCCCCTTCTGAGTTTGTTTTGAATTGCGTGCATCTTCACCTCATTTCTTCTCCCGACAGTTCAGCGCTCTATTTTGAGTAGAGGGTTATGGCATCCTGCTAAAGGATGCACCTCAGAGATCACCCATATAATTTAATACCGTGTCACTGCATGACACACGCTTGGCATTCACTCAGCCACTGGAGTCTCAAAACATTGAGGAGAAGCTGTATCCAGAACAAGAATGTGTATATCTTTGAAGAAAAATTATTGTAACTAAATGTGCAATTTGTGCACCTCTGTCAACACAATTCAGATCGTTTAAAGTAAAGGCTCAATCCGAGTGGATCCGAGTGTTTCTCGTCAGTGGAACTACGTTTTATCGGGAGAATTTATTCGCTATGAAGATAACTAGAGCGCACAGAGTGCGTACGATTCGTTTCCACAATTTTCCAATGTGTCGTCCATTAACGGGACCAACTGAGTGCAAGGCTTATATTTGATCCGTGATTCGACAAAACCTCCAGGCGGGAGGGATTTTCGAGACCCATTTGTTTGTTTCAGATCTCAATTTTGAATACAGATTTGAAATCAGTGTGAAAAATGACACAAGTTTAATACCAAACACAAACACACACACACACACACACACACACACACACACACACACACACACACACACACACACACACACACACACACATATATATATATGTGTGTGTGTGTGTGTGTGTGTGTATATGTGTAGGCCTGTATATAATATAACCTTATCTACGTCGTTGATAAATATCGAGTACCCAGTAGCGCCTGCAATTCTGCCTTCTTCTCCTCATCCTATATAGGAGCACCAAAACTTTTGCATCCATAATAAAAGAAGTAAGACTCTCAGACGCTGATCTGATCAACTAGATCTACATCTAGGCTAGCCGAGCATGCACGCATGCAACAACCCTGACCTACTAGCTACCGTCAACTAGATGACGTAAGCTAAAAATATCACTCAAAAATTCCTTCCGGGGAAAAAAATGGGAGAGAACGAAGCCACTCCACGCGTGGTCCCGTCGACTTGGAACCGTTCTCGGACGGGAAATCTCGTCCGAGGAACCCTCAGATCCACTCGGGAGTTGCTTCGAGCCTGCCAGCCAGGACCAATCCAAGCTACTAGCTACAGAACTCAGCAGATTGACGGACATACTCGACAAAATGAAAAATCCTCACACGGGAATCGAGCTCATATCTTCTTTCTCTTTTTGCAACGGCCAAGAGACTACCGTTAAACCACAGACGCCGATACATACTGACATACAGACTTCATCATTAGTTAAGGACCACGTCCAAACACTCTGAGTGGTCTTATTGTGCCGAGCTGCACGTGGGCGTTCTTGGACTGATCCAGTTGCTTGATGGCGCTGCCTCAAGCAGACAATGACAGAGTGTGACACTGCAAGCCTTCTGGCAACTTCTGGGGCTCCAACTCCATCCTACAGCCATGCCATAGCTCTGGCACGATCAAAGTCTCAGAGCTTTCGTCTTGGTGGCATGTTGATGCGATACTGGATTTTGCGCACACGGCGGCTTATGTTGCCACCAAAGTGAGCACAGTTCAAGACCATACGTCTGTTTATGACGCACACTAGAAATTTTAACTGAGGAATGTCCGTGGTGTCGCACACAAGCCGAAAAAGGCCCCCAGCAAATTTGGCTAAATTTCCTGAGGATTTTCGTGCTGCACGTGGTGGTTGTGCCACTTTAGGAAAATTTGCAGTACGCATTGGTAACCCATTAACACTTTCAGAGCAAAACATTTTGAAACATTCCTTGCTGTCTTTTTTTTTCGGATTTAAAAAAAACAACCAACAGAACTGTCTGTCAAGGTGGTCCTTAACTTATGTTGAAATCGGTATTATTAAACTTTATGCCAGACGTATGCTCCACAGAAGGTTGGTTTCTGTTGAGCGGGAATCGTAGTAGTAGTAGTAGTAGTAGTAGTAGTAGTAGTAGTAGTAGTAGTAGTAGTAGTAGTAGTAGTAGTAGTAGTAGGCCTAGTAGTAGTAGTAGAAGTAGTAGTAGTAGTAGTAGTAGCTGTAGTAGTAGTAGTAGGTGGAGGAGGAGGAGGAGGAGAAGGAGGAGGAGTAGGAGTAGTAGTAGGAGGAGAAATAAGAATAGCAGTAATTATAGTAGTAGTAGTAGTAGCAGCAGTAGTAGTAGTAGTAGTAGTAGTAGTAGTAGTAGTAGTAGTAGTAGTAGTAG